CAGTGAGCTGTCAATAGACATTAGCTCTCAGGGTGCCCCTATTATGATAACTTAGTTGTTGGCTTAGAGATCACTTCTCCTGTTGCATTATTATCACTCAGTCAGAATCTCCACTTCTTTTTATTCCCCCATCTCTCCGCCATATCTCTAAATTCCACTGTTTTTCCTAAACCCACTCTCACCCCAGTGTCTCAGGATTAACTGTAGAGGCATGAAAGAACAAAGAGCCAGGGCCAGGAAAAGCCCATTTTCAAATCTGATGGGAAATTTCTTCCTCTGTGTGTAAACAGATGCCATTCTCCACACCAAAGGAAGGTTACCCTAACAAGCTATGCAGTCTAAGTGACACCTTCAACAATGAACTACAGTTGGTTTTTGCTTTGCAAAGTGAAATTAAAAGCACTTACTGAAGCCATGCATTTGAACATCTTCACCAAAGACTGATTCCAGCTTCCAGTTTGCAATTTAATCAAGTCTTGCACGACCAGATTGATTTGCTGCTATTATAGTAATCCAGTAGCAAATCTTTGCAACCTATCCATAGAATAAATCTCTCTTTCTAGCCATGACATTAAGACACCAATGGGTTAAGAAATCTCTCATCCCTAATAAGTGAAGAGTCTCAAGTCAGGAACTCTAGAGCTATCTAAGATAATCAGGAGTAGGGGTATTATTTGCATATTCACCAGAGAACAGGTTAGTGTTTTCTTTTTTTCCTAAATAGTCAATATGCTTTTCTGAAAAGGCATAAAATCATGTATTTATGAATGATTTGTTAGGTGAAGGGTGAATTATCTTCTAAATAGAGTTAATTAGTATTGGCTTCCTGCTTGGGTTCAATTTTGGGAGCCCCTATAATTTATGTCTGTCATTGACCTTCTCAAGGTAGACGTTCTCCTCTATTATAATAGGAGACCCTATTCCATTATCTTATCCACCCTCTCCCACTTCTCTTCTCCTTCTTCTATTATCACCTGTTCTACATTCTCATGTAGTCAACCTTCCCTTCTTTCCTTATCACTTTGACTAGGCTTCTGCACAAAATTCAATGTGAGAATAAAGGAAAATAATATCTTTAAAATAGCAAATATCCACCTGAAAAATGCTGTGGGAAATACAACTGTTAGTTGTTGGTATCTTTGGCAAGTGACCTAAATACCCTGTTGTACACGTCTATATGTTGTTAAACCACTCCCTATTTATCTGCAGCCTCCAAAAGTATAAAAAAGAAATGTCTACAATAACATTACACAGGTCTTCTATGATTTAAATATTAAAATGATTCCAGAAAAGTTGCATATAAATCAAATCCTACTTAAATGCAGCTGGCTATTTAAAGAAATCTCATGACAAATTCTTTTATATTGAAAAAATAATTTCATAAAGCCAAAGATTACCTTCTATTTAATCAGTTTTGAATAACTAGATCTTTTTACAACTGGTATATTTAAAGCAAGTAATACCTATACACTTTAAGAGAGCACTTGTTTCACTGAAGAAATATTTCTGATTTATAAATTTAAAAGAACAGTGAGAGGGCTTCCCTGGTGGCGCAGTGGTTGAGAGTCCGCCTGCCGATGCAGGGGACACGGGTTCGTGCCCCGGTCCGGGAGGATCCCACGTGCCGCGGAGCGGCTGGGCCCGTGAGCCATGGCCGCTGGGCCTGTGCGTCCGGAGCCTGTGCTCCGCAATGGGAGAGGCCACAACAGTGAGAGGCCCGCGTACCGTTAAAAAAAAAAAAAAAAAAAGAACAGTGAGAAAATAATCTTTTAAAATTTTAATAATCTTTTAAAACTTGCATACTTGCAATACACAATCTTAAAAACCTCTACCTACATGATTTTGTAATTAACCAACCCTATGAGTTTTGGATTAATATTCCTAGCCCATGCCTGCATATTGTTAAACTGAAAACAAGTATGAGTGGGTTACTCTTTAAATAATCCCAGCCTTATATTTTGAAATATAAGAGGACAATCTGTTAATTGCTCTTTTTTTTAAACATCTTTATTAGAGTATAACTGTACAATGGTGTGTTAGTTTCTGCTTTATAACAAAGTGAATCAGTTATACATATACATACGTCCCCATATCTCTTCCCTCTTGCATCACCCTCCCTCCCACCCTCCCTATCCCGCTCCTCTAGGTGGTCACAAAGCACCGAGCTGATCTCCCTGTGCTATGTGGCTGCTTCCCACTAGCTATCTATTTTACATTGGGTAGTGTATATATGTCCATGCCACTCTCTCACATTGTTCCAGCTTACCCTTCCCCCTCCCCGTATCCTCAAGTCCATTCTCTAGTAAGTCTTCATCTTTATTCCCATCTTGTCCCTAGGTTCCTCATGACCATTTTTTCTTTTAGATTCCTTATACATATGTTAGCATACGGTATTTGTTTTTCTCTTTCTGGCTTACTTCACTCTGTATAACAGCCTCCAGGTCCATCCACCTCACTACAAATAACTCAGTTTTGTTCCTTTTTATGGCTGAGTAATTGCTCTTTAAACAAGGAAACAAGGAATAATATAGCTTAGACAATATTGCAAATAAAATAAATCTTCACAGAGCAACCTCTTGAACTTCCATACTGAGAAGCCATTTTGTCTCTACATCAAGTATAACATTTGAACTCTGTGAATAAATAAACTTGATATATACTTATATGAACAATGACTCAAGGATAAGTTTGAATTATTTTTTCTAGTATGTAATATATACTCAGTATATTTTTATTTAAATAGCAAATGAATAAATTACTGTTTCAGTGGCTGAGGTTTTATCCTCACCCTCCCTTGACAGATTTCCCTTAGTGATCAAAACTCTGTATTTTCATGACAGCTCTTAGGAGGTTAGGTGAAACAATTTGGGACCTATGAAAATTAGTTTTGGTGTGTGTGTGTCTGTGTGTGTATGTGTGAACTAACATGCTCACAAGGGAATCATACCTGTGACTGACTTCTTTGGCACCATTTTCTCAGCTAGTATTTCTCAAAGCATGATCCTTGAAAGGAATGCAAGAGATTCCCCAGGACAAAAAGATAAATTCCCTGTCTTACTGATGTACTAAATTAGAATCTGGAGGAGAGAGATGGGAATCTATATTTAAGGATCCTTATCTTTACCATACCTGGGTTCTTCCATGTGATTCTGATGCACATTAAAGTCTGAGAAACTCTGAGAGGTAGAGTTCAGGTGAAATTTAAAATCCCCAGTTCAACTTTTCTTAAAGTTTAGGGCAAGTGAATTAATGCCTTATAAGACACCCAAAATAAGCTCCAGAATCTAAAAACAAACTAAAGAAACAAATGTGTTGTCACCATAACCCAACAGATGGAAGCATAAAAGAGGTTTGATATTTACTTTATTCTGGTCCAACTTAAAATATAAGCTAAACACTATAATGTTACAAACTTTACTAAATGACCTCCAAATGGAAGTGTTCTGAAAGCATCAGATAAGGATTCTGTGACTGTGGTCAAAGTGATGATTCTGCAAGGATTTGTGCATGGTCAGGCCACTTATGAATGATGTATAACTGCCTATGATTGACTCTTCTGCTTGAATGAGGCAGGAAGTCTAGTTCATACTAAGGGAATCAGAAATTAAACAAAAGCAGATCTTTGCTCTTTGGATTGGCCAAATATGGCAGTTATTTTGAAAGCTCATGGAGAAGCAACGTGCAATTCTAATCAAAATGATAATTCAAACCTTCACAGAAGGTACTTTACAATTCAGACTAAGAAGTAGAACTGTCATGTATCAGAATAGAGAATGAACTAAAGTATATATATTAATTTTTAATTAATTTTAAAGTATATATATTGATTTTTATTTTTACTCCTTTTGTTAACATTTAGAATTTAGAAAAATATGAAAAAAGAAACTAGTTGACTCTCAGGGATCAAAAACTAAATCAAATATATGTTATACAAATGAACTTATTAAGCAAGTATCATTATTAGTAGACTGATTTTAACACTATCCCAAAAAGGTCAGCTAGCCATAAACAAAAACAATATAGAAGAAAATCCATATTCCTAACATTAATGAGAGTATGTTGTAACTAAACAACTATTTGATGTCAACATTAGATGGTTAAACAGGTAATGCTCAAGTTAATAAGTGCAATAAATATTACACTTGTCTGGATAATGTCAAATTTTACCATGGCTCAGATTTTACCCACAATACAAAAATGTGTGTTTATACTTATACGCACACACATACATCTAAAACATATATAAGAAGAATAAAATTAGTCAAGATTTGCTCAGGCACAATAGTAGGTGGATCTTTTGTCACGCTGTTTCTTAAGGTCCATCACACCCATTGTCAGGGATAATCTTTATGTCATTAGGGTCTGTCCTATTTTGCTGAAAATTACTTACTAACATTCTCCACCAGGTAAGAATATTCTGAGTCTCTCTCTTCCATTGTGAGTAGAATTACTAAGTTACAATTTGCTTGTACTTCTGATGTAAAACACATATGTGCATGCTATTCATTTGGAGTTGCTCCATTTAAGAATCACTAGAACCTCACAATAACATCACTCATTTATGAGAAATTCTATATAAATGATATTTAGGATGCAGTCCAAGAAGATTTCATTACAAAAGCCCAAAAGAACCTCATTCTGAGGCAGCCTTCACCTGCAAGAATACTCCACATATGGGGTAAGTCAACATTCTAAAGTGGTTCCAGCATATTTTTTCTGAGACGCTTAGTAACAATCAATAATACCCTGAAGAGTTAAGAACCTTTCATAAAAGCAGAGAACAGATATGCAGTAACTGGTACCATGTTCCCTAAATTAATTGTCCATATTCCACATATAGCTTATCAGTATAACTTATTAATAGTGAGCTTCACAACTATTTTATTTGTAGCTAATTATAAATTCACAGCTAGTTTACTCTTTGTTTGGAAACTTTTTCTTCCTGTACCAAATTGTACTTAAAATCTCACTTGCCATGATTTGGTAAAACCAATGCTTACCTGTAACTTTCAACTCAGTTGTTCTTCTTACAAGTTTTCCTTCATACTTAAGCTCACAAGTGTAATTTCCCCCATCTTCTTCTTGAACTTCCTGGATCAGAAGGGCATTTCCTTTCTGTATTATGATGCTTCTCCACATTTTTGGCTTGCATTCCTGCAGAGAAAATATTTTCAAGTAAGCAAAAAATAAAAATTCACATCACTAAGTCTTAGTACTGGCAAGTTAGTACTTTCACTTTTTTGTACTCTTCTCTTTAGTTTTCAAAATATGTAGCTAAATTGTTACGTCAATGACCAGAAAACATCACGACTGCATCTTATTGTATCTTATTGTATCCAATTGAAACATCACAACTACCACCCTAAGAACCACTTTAACGGCCTGATCCCAAGAGCAGAAAGTCCTTAGAGACATTCTGCAAAAACAGAAAAGCATACAAGATCCCCAAACGCAAAAGAGGTAGAGCAGTCACTGAGTAGCATTTTAATGACCTGGTTCTTTTTTTTTTTTTTAATTTTTATTTATTTATTTTTCTTCATTTCTGTGCGAGGGCTTTCTCTAGTTGCAGCGAGCGGGGGCCACTCTTCATCGCGGTGCGCGGGCCTCTCTTGTTGCGGAGCACAAGCTCCAGATGCGCAGGCTCAGTAGTGTGGCTCACGGGCCTAGCTGCTCCGCGGCATGTGGGACCTTCCCAGACCAGGGCTCGAACCCGTGTCTCCTGCATTGGCAGGCGGATTCCCAACCACTGCACCACCAGGGAAGCCTGCCCTGGTTCTGTCTATATGACAGGAATATGTCCTAAGAGTTCTAAGAGGATAGTGTTCGCTTAGCAACATAATATAAACAAGGGAGCCTTAGGCATTATTTAAAAATTCTAATTGGCTTTTACACTGGCAATGGTTTAATTAATTTTTATAGTAAAAACTAATAATAATATTCAAGAGTCTCTCTCCCCATAGTCAAGAGATCTATTGTGGGGAGGTTGAGGGGGGAAGGGGATCAAGAAAATGAGGCTTGAGGAATTCTCTAGAAACATAGCTAGGTAAAATGAGGACACACTTTGTTGTAATAAGGTAATGGGGAAATGATCCACTTATTTTCTGAGTTCAGTGATCTGTGACCAGATAATAAGATTTGGGTTTTGAGGTCAATTCTTTTACTCATCTGGTAAGAATGTGTTGCTACTGGAATTGGACTTTACTAGAAAGGAATGATTAATTTCCATCGACTGACAGAGATACAACAATAGCAGAGTATGTAAGAATATTCAGCCAAGTAGCTTTGTCTTTTGGGAATTTTCTCAGACTACTTTTTACATATTGCTCCAGTTTGTCTACCACTTATCTCAAATGTTCAACAAAAGTGGTGGCCAAAAGCTGTGCAAACATCAGTGAAGCTGTGGGGGATAGATGTGAGGGGGTGCTGAAGTATTTTATCATTTAAATTCTGGATCTGTCAGTTAAGGAATTAAAAAAATGATCATGAGGCAGATGACATGAATAACAGTTGAGGACAGTTTCCATATTCCCCATGGTATATACAACATCTATTCTACCTCGCCTTCTCCCCACCCTTACTCCCACCCTCTGCAGACACATCCTAAATATTCATGTAAAAGTAAAATCGGTGCTGACTCTCAATCCCCAGCTCTGCATGCTTGAGTGTGTGCATGTGTGTGTGCGCACATGTCGTAAAATGATTTGGAAGAGTGAGTACCCATTTATTAGATTTTACTGTAACAAAATTTCTTCTGTTATGATAACAGAATTGACAACAAAACACAAAAACTGACACTTAAGTTCACAGGTATAATATTTAAGAGATACACTTGCTTTATGTCCAATACAACTACCCACATACATTGTCAGAGAGTAAATAAAAGTAATACTGTCTGGCGCATCTAGATATAAAGCTGCTTCACTCCCTAGGGTCTTTCCAAAAAACACTTAAGGGTCTGTCTGAAATTCTATTACATACCATGTCTGGCAAGTTTTATCACCTATATGAGATTTGCTTCTGAGTTAAACCTTGGGATATAAGGTTTCTGGGAAAATGAAAAAGAAAGACTGAACAGAAAGAAAAAAAAATAGCCCAGCTGCCACTATCGTCATACAATAATAATCCACAATTATTTTCGCATTGCTTCCAACTCTGATAGCCTCAGATTTCTAAAGAATCATTCTGAAGGTCATTAAACAAAAATATCGTCCCTCTGGGCATTTTGAGAGGAAAGGAAAATGAAAACTGAGCTGCTTCTCTTTCACATAGCAGTGGTGGGGGCAGGCAAATGAGCCCACACACTCACTTCATTCAAAGACAAATGGCATCGTTTTCTAATGTCATTTTTTGGGGGAAAGTCCATATACAATTAGCTCTGACCATTTTCATTTTCTCTGCATACTGCTTTGTTTTTTTTCCCCAGGAAGTAAAATCTAAAGAGTGTACAGGAATTACAAAATAACTCCTGATGAGGAACAGCCTGGAATCTTCACATGTTCATTGGGATAGATACAGATTGTCCCAAGTGCTTTTCAAGTTGTCATCTAGCCTTATAAAGGATTCCTTGTACCCAACAGAGTTTTTGTTTTTAACTGTGTTATAGGAAAATGTTATCTCTGGGGCACCTCCATCCTTCTGGAACAATGTAGTATAGATGAAAAGGCAAACTGGCTTCAGAGCAAGACAGCTCTAGGTCAAAATCTGGGGTTCACCCAAGTTCTGTGATCTTGGGAAAATTTGCCTAACTTCTTTAGGTCTCATTCTTTTACTCTGCATGTGGGGATACTATACACTACCATATGAACAACCAGAATCCAGAGGCTTGCAGAGTTTATTCATTACACTCTTGCTGTGCAGCACTATATTTAGTAGTCATCCAACACAGAGAATGCTTTTCATCCCTAAATTTTCACAATCCTGGATTATATCTCCTCCAAACGTCTGACTCTGCTTGGTGAAACTTGGTGCTAATGGACTAATCAGATAAGAACAAATCTTCACTAATTGGTTAACCATCCCCCAGCAACATAATACTTTAACCCACTGAAAATGTATAGCTCCTAAGAGGCCACTCCAACACTAATCCTAGCAGGTGGGTAGAGAAACTATATTTTGTTCAGAAGAGCCTTGTAGATGATATCCTGCCCCCACCAACCCATCCTTCACGAAGTTACCTCATTGGCTATCCTGCCCACGTCTGTGTGCCTATATCAAATCTCAGAAGTCTTCCAGGTTTTTTGCTCCATTATTTGCAGCATCTCTGCCTTAACCTGCTGGCTGCGAGGCTTACTACTGTCACTGCTTCTCTCCTTCCCCCAGTCTTCCCATCATCTCTTTCCTATTGGACAGACAACATTACCATACTTCACTCCCTCCACACCTGTTTAGTTTAATTCTGACAGACTGGTGGGCAATAAAGTTTGCAGCACATAGGTCAAGTCTCAAGATGGTTGTTTATCTGAGGTAAGGACAAACTACCAGAACCTCGAATGGGAACAGGCCCCTAATATTGTCCTCAGTGTGTAATGCCTCTATTATTTAATGCCTCTGAGACCATTACATTGAATTTAATCCACTGGAAGTTTTCGCTGAGGACCAGTTTTACCTAAGTTTAACAAACAGCTTCAGTTCATGGTCCAGCTGTCCTCTCACAGAACAGTTTGCTGTAGGACATCCTTGTTCAGTCAAAATCACATCAGCCTTTAAATTCCAGCTTCCTTCCCTTCTTCTCAGCCTTCCTGAGTGGAAGATGTTATTTGCCAGCAGTTGCTAGGTTGGGAGCCTAGGATGTTCAACAGAAACATCTGTTGACCAAGCCCCTTGAAGCTGCCAGCCATATTTGGATCTTGGAGTTCCCACCCTGAAATATTCACCACTACATTCACAGTGTACTTCTGAGATAGCATCATCACAACCACAGGTGTATTTCAATCACTTTGATTTGTTAGTCATGGTTACTTCAGTGCTATTCAGAGCACATGACTCATTTCTCACAGCAAGAATATGAGAAAGATTCATTTAAATAATTATTCTGATTCTGAAGTTCAGACACAAAGTAGCTGTGCAACCATAAGGCAATCACATAACCTCTGGTCCTCTTCAAATACTTAACACCCATTCACTCACACCAAACTTCTCTCCTTTCCCCTGGAGACTGGACTATTCCACAGAGCATCTAGGCTCTGCCTAACAATTTGTAGGAAACCTGAACTTTCTTCACTTTAAAGATGGAAGAGATAGGAGCACAATTGTGAATTGGGTATCAATCTTGTACTTCCACTCCAAATGCCTAGGATAACCCACTGCAGAGAGTCCTTCCCCTCCCTAGTTCTTTTCCTCTAACTTTCTATCTTCACAGTCCTAATGTTGAATTTTGGTACCCCCACAGCAGTTCAGTATAAATACCACATTCAAATACTTGGGATGAAATCCCAAATTATATGTTCTTGAGCATGCTACTTAACCAATCTAAGCCTCAGTCGCTTCACCTATTTTTAAAAAGTTGGTGATAATCATAATATATACCAAATAGGGGTAATTATAAGAATTAAATGAGGTAATGCATATAAATCCTCTGTAATAAGAGCATCACATGCTAAAACCACTAAATAAATATTAACTATTATTCTATCATTGTCATTACCCTCAGCATCCAGCTTTCAAATTACATACACAACTATCTTGATATGTTAATAACTATTAGGAGTTAATGTGACTCATATTTCTATAGGAGTCTGGAGACAATCCAAAAGACAATCCAAAGTTACCATTCCGATGAAGGGGTTGATTTACTGTTTCTTATCTGACACATAAAGGACCTGAAAGTTATTACTACCATCCTAACAACAAGAAAAAAGCTGAACAAACTGAAACTCAATAACTTCTTTTATTTCCACCAGGTAACTGAGGTCACAGTAAAAGCCACCGCCCCAGAAACTGGAGAGACAGGTAGATACAGAGAATCACAGTTTACTGGGAGCAGAAACAGCCTCAGGAGCCAACTGGTAGGAACACTTAAAGGATAATTGACTAATTTCTGGAGACTAAGTGTGAACTAGCTTGAGAAATAAAAAAATCCCTGAGGGCCCAGTCTTGGAAGGCAGCCCACACTTTTGTAAGGTTTACCTCCATGAGTCCCACCAGGTTCTTCTCAG